TTTGGTTTATCAAAAGTGTTCTTACATGCAGAGTTGTCTGCTTGTCATGACCCGATTTAGCATTTATAAACACTCACTGGCCACCTTACCTTGTATCTGCATGCATTGTCCATTTGATCAAATCCACTTACCATACAGGTGCACTTTGCAGTTCTAAGTAGACTGTAGTTCATCTGTTTCTCTGCATCATTTGTTATTTCCTCCTTCCAAAGAAAGAAGGGAGAAAACAGACAAATCTCATCACTTTCATGTCTGAACATTGATCACAGCTCATTTTTACTAGTTAGCTAAAAGCAGTTAACTTAAGATAAAAGCTAGTTAACTAATATTTGCGCTGGAATAAGGTTAGTGAGCAAGATACCAGTTATTTCTAAAATCTCAGCATTTTCATCTTTGCTAAAATGAGATAACCAAGCTGTCCAGCTAGTGATAAACATTTCTCCAGTTTACACTTTAACCTTAAAGGTGACATACTCATCACAGTTAATATGCTACAGCATGTAACCGTTGCACAACGGGAAAAATCAAACAAGAAGCTGGTGAATAAGCAGCCAACTTTAGCTTTGTCAAGATTAAAGTATAAAATTATATAACTAACGTATTAAATGTAACCGTAGAGCCTAGCCTGGCTAGAGTAGCGTCAATTAAGCTAGCTAACGCCAGCTAATTAGCCATATATATCAAGTTACAGCATGAATATCAACCGCTTAGGGCAAACGGATAAACGTTATAGGCAACATTTCGTCAAAATAAACAAAACAACCTTAGCTGTGTTGTTACCACATCAGATACCTATCCTGCTAACCGGCTGGAATATAATAATAGTCAGCCAATAGTTAGCTGTTGTATGTCAGAGACATACAACAGCTAACGTTAGCGTAGCTAACCTAACCGTTAACAAAGCGGTTAGCTGTAGCTAAGTTACAGCAACTTTGTCATTTAGATAGCAGGGGTTTCTTTTTAATCTGCATATGATAAGTAAAATTAAGAGTGTAGTCTCTGAAATGGCTAATCAGGTACTCAAAACAGCATTAAAGTTGTGGAGTCCGAGTCCTGAGGACCGTAACTGCTGCATCACTTAAGGTGGAACGGGAACATTTGTTAATTGATTTAACCCCTAAATTGCTATAAATGTAGACTTTTTACGGAGCCCTGCTACGGAGCACTACGGAGCCCCGCTGGTGACATCCTGTATAAATAAAAATAATGCGTGGCCACGACTTAGTAAGGCGTGGCAATGAGATGATTAAGTCGTGGCCACGCCTTAGTAAAGCGTGGGAATGAGACCCTGATGTGTGGCCACGACTTAGTAAGCCGTGATCTCGTTCCCACGCTTTACTAAGTTGTGGCCACGACTTAATCATCTCATTCCCACGCCTTACTAAATCGTGGCCACGCATTAGGATCTCGTTCCCACGCCTTACTAAGTCGTGGCCACGCATTATTTTTATTTATACAGGATGTCACCAGCGAGGCTGCGTACTTTTTTTCCTTCTCTACACGTTGTTTTCTCAGATATATACAGGGTGTCCCAAAAAACTGACATCATTTGAGATGTGAATATCTGGGTAACTACATGTCCTGGGCAAACGAGATTCATTTTCATATTCATTTTGGACTCCTTCGGGAGTGCTCTCTAGCGTTTGACAAACCTGGAAGACATTACTGAGAGGAAGTTCTCCTCACTATGCATTCTTTGACTAAATGCACCTGCTGGACATGCATTCTCACAATTCACTGCGCAAACAGTCTGAGCCGAGGTGAACCAAAGTGTCGAATGGAACTGTCGTCAATGGAGAGGTCTCTACTCACACGGCTTTAGCAAACTGTATTTGGTAAACCATAGCTAACACAAATTCGAAGGGGTTGGCACAACCTTACTTTGCAGTGTTGTTATGTTCAAGTTGTGGACTTTCTTGAGGTCTGAATTATTAATAAAGTGGATCAAAAGGCTTTCAGAACTGTCATTATCTATTTTATTTTGTGCAAGCCTGGCTACTTGCTCACAGTGGTGGTCCTGTGGGGGTCCTGACCATTGATGAATGGGGTGAAGAAAGGCTTCCAAGGCATATGAAGCATCACCACAACATTTCAAACTGCTGCTAACACAATGTCATTGCACAGCTCAACACATTTGGAGGAGAACGCTTACTGCCCGTTCTGTTCAGCATGATGTTAGCTGAGTGGTTGCGGGGAGAGGTAGGGCTGAGTCCCACCCACCCAGAGAGAGCGAGGTCAATTACACTCGCAAGGCCATGGCTGTGGCATCGCCAGAGATTGAGTTTTCGGATCTCTTGACGATAAGGCCAACAGTTAGATGGTTGCAGCACTCGGGTGCCCTTAAAAAAACTCAAAAACATTTAAAATCAACTTCTGACGTTCTACTTTTTACAATTTTTACAGTTTTTACAGTGTAAAGTCATTTTTGTCTTTTCCTCCAAAACGATGGAGGTTGTAGCCTGGTGCATGGATCCTGAAACCAAATGCATGGTGCACCCTTCCACTCACTGCAACAACATGTTGTAGCTTTAAGGCAAAAATAAACATGCTCTGAAAATTTATAGGCATCTTAAAGTAGAGAAGAAATTCCTTACAAGAGCAGGACTCTTAAATTAACTGACTCTGTTGGCAGCAAAATGTGTGTCATCTGACTCTGAATATTAAAGTGTCTCTTTATGATTTAGAGTCTGTTGAAGAAGCACGTAGGCTTCAAAGTTTTGTTTAAAAGCCTAGCATTAGGTTAATTGCTGATGTTGGGTGATAAATATTGATGCTTATTTGAACTGATCAGACCAGACTGATGAACTTTTCTACTGGCAGATTCTGTTTTTTTCTGGCCTTGACTGTTGGATGTCTATTAAAGAGAAAATAAAAGCTGTATAAATTCATTCTAGACAGCAGTGGGCCCGTCTGAAGTGATCATAATTTGCAAAATGTCTGGGTAACATGTGGGCTAAGTGTGTTTTGGAGTTAAAGCACAAAGCTATCACATTTTACTAATGCTGGAGCTAGTGGTGTATTTCTTTTTGTGCCAACTATAGTCTTTGAATATGAGCACACAGTGTGCTAAGGACCTTGCTGTGGTTCAGCTGATTGAACTTGTTTTAGAGATTCAGGCTTATCAGCTGCGCGTAAAACATTCTAAAAACAAACCATAAAGACAAACACATAATTTAAATGCAAACGGCTGAGCTCTAACCACAGCATGTTACAAATTAACTCACTACAACCAAACTTAACCACAAACTAAACTCGAATTCACTGACAAGGGACGAACAGGCATTAACAACAGTTGTAAATGATTCTAACTCCATTTATGTGCACAACAGCAGGTGACAAACTAAGGAATGAACCCTAAACTGTTATTAGTTTTTCTTTAGTAAGTGACATGCAGAAGAGCATTCTATCAGAGTAAATCAAGTATGAGAGAGAGTGGCTTATTCTATCAATGCACCCACATTTAAACTACTGGGATTTTTTGTTGCTTATAAATTCTAGTTTCAATATTCGGGCCTATTTTGTTAGAGGGTTGGTACAGACCGTCCAATCTGAGCCAAACCAATTAAATTAGAGCTCATTAGAAATCAAAATGAACCTCAAAATACACGCCTTATGGATGCACTGATATGACGTGCAGAAGAGACTGGAATACAACAGTGCTTCTCCTGCGCTGGAGTGGGATTTGTTTTCAGACTGGAAGTTACATGATGCAGACCAGCCTACCCCAAACTCTGTACACACAAACACACACACACACACACACACACACACGCACACACACAAACACACACACGCACACACACACATGCACAGCATTGCTTTAGTTTAGTTTAGTTTTTCTAAAATCTGTGCATTTTCATCTTATTTCTTATTCTTGTTTTATTCTTTATATGCTACATACTTGGAGAAAAAAGATGGTTCTTCAAGGGTTCTTTTGTAAAGACAATGGTTCTATTTAGAACCATGAGTTGTATGTAGAATCATTTGCATGCTTAAACGTTTCTTTGCATGGTGAAATGATTCTTCAGATTGATAGAGAATGTGTTGTATATGGTTCTGTATAGAACCCTTTTAAAAATGGTTCTATATAGCACCATAGAGGGTTCTGCTATTGTTAAGATGTCAAACTTGTAACGGTGGAAGAATCCTTTTTGGTGCTATATAGAACCATCTTCAAAAAAGTTCTATATAAAAAGTATTTTAATATTATTTGCCTTGATTTCTTGATCACTCCTTTTGAGAAAAAATAAAAATATTTGAACTTTGTTACTGATGGTAAATGATTTCTCAGTCATTGCAAAATCATCTACAATTCTAAAGCAACTTTATTTTTTTTTCTTTAAAGCAAGATGAGCATATTAGAATCGTTTTTATACACACATCTGCATGCAGATTAATTATACAGCATTGAATGCATTGATTCCAAACTTTTAAGCAAATGTGTCTTCAAACTCTCCAGAAGATGGTGCCTCATTTGCAGTTATTAATCGGAATTGGGAACAACACAAAGATTAATTGAGAAAACCTTGTGACATAGAGTGCACTCTTGTAAGTGGAGTTTGTTAGTCTGTCACCTGCCAATTTACAAAGACTGATGAAGGATATATATATATACACGTATGAATGAATACATATCTGACCAAAAAAGTGATAAAAACAAAGCAAACCTCATATTTTTAACTGTAAAAGTTAGAAGTTCCAAACATGCTAAACATTTGTACTTAGAGCAAATGAACAAACAAAGAAAGAAATAAACAAAATATTAACTCGTGATTCTTTAGATCAAAATGTGTTAAAGAATATGACAATACATACATTCGATCAGGTGTGTGCAAACTTTTAACTGAACTCTTATTTTGACAGCACAGCACTTATTTCGCAGCCCGGCTTTATGTGATCTATATATCATAATGCGGTGCGAATCAACGGCGAATCAGATTTGTAGATCAGCGAATTTGCGAAGCCCGCCGCGTTGTCCGCGGTGTCTAATGTAACGGCAACAGAGTTTGATTTCAGTACGAGCCCTTCAGCTGTCAGATACAGAGCGGACAGAGAAACTGCTGGCCAAGCTTTACTCCGCTCTCTTCGTTTCTGGGCAGGAGCTCATTCCTTGGTGAGTTCAGTCTTTTTACAGACTAAACGGGTCACATATAATTTGTATTTTATCAGATAAAAAGCCGAATAACTGTCAAGTGCGCAGTTTAACTGCTAGCTGAGGTAGCTAAGCTAACCTTGCTGTCGAGCAAGAAGACACCTAGCCTGTTAGATAAGATTTAACTCGATGGGTTTCATTGTGAAACTTTACCGAAAGGTCAGCTTACAGATTAAATGAGGTTTAGACCAGCTTTAGACTGCTTAACGTGAACGTAACGCTTCCAAATGAAGTGTCAGTTTGCAAACTTACTAGCATATTTTTCGGTTTGTATTCAAGTGGCGTTTCACGTGACAGCTATTGTGTTTAAATGACTCGATCAACTTGATCAAAGGCCCTGATAAGTTTAAGTTAGATAACACATCATTACTTAAGCGTTTATCTTGTAATCGAGTCAGATAGGTGTTGTGTAACAGCATGTTAGTTTAGTTAAGCATTACTGTAAACATACTGAAAGGATTTCAGTGCCTGATGTATAGAAGCTCGTTTCTGACACTGAAAAAAAATTTTTAGTAAGTCTTAATAATGAGAAGGTTTTCCATAATTATGAGTTAACATCTCATATGACTTAGTGTCTCTTAATAATGAGGAAATTCTCATAATTATGAGGAAGTAAGTCATGCTTATGAGATACTAAGTCATAATTATGAGATACTAAGTCATAATTCTGACATAATATCTCATAAAAATAATAATGACTTAGTAATAATTAGTGATAGTAATAATTATGTGAACGTAAGTGATATTTTATTTCCACGTTTATTGAAGCTTGGCTGCTGCCAGACTTCTCTGTTGCTAAACTGTGTCTGATTCAGTTGGTCCACATAGTTTGAATAACTTTTTTGTGATGATGGCCTGAATGACGTTAAAGTAACACCACAATTGCTGTGTTATGTTGGGCATGATGTTTTACGTCGTAGAGGGTGGGGAGAGCAGGTCTTATTCTATCAGAGTAAATAGGGTGGGGAGGGCAGGGCTTATTCCATCAAGGTATAGTGGGTGGGGAGCGTGAGCCTTATTTTGTCAGAGTAAAACAAGCACGAGAGAGAGTGGCTTATTCTATAAATGCACCCACATTTAAACGAATGGGATTTTTTTGTTAAGTTGCTTATAAATTCCAGTTTCAATTTTTGGGGCTTATTTTGTTAGAGAGTTGGTACAGCCCTTCCAATCTGAGCCAAACCAATTAGAGCTCCATAGAAATCAAAGTGAACCTCATAATATGTGCCTTAGGGATGCACTGATATGGGAATTGTGGCCGATTTAACATATCTGCTAATGCCAAAACGTAAACATTTATTAAATATAGGGTTTGGGACTAAATCCACATTTACTAACATTACAGAGAAATATTTTTTGTAGGGTTCCAAATGTAAAATGAATAAAATGCAGATGTGTATATATATATATATATATATATATATATATATATGTATGTATATATCCTCTGTCTGCTGGTACCAGTATGATTCCAGTGTTGTTGTGTATCACTAATGTGCATCGTCACAGTTTGGTAACCATGAACAGTTGCGTTATTGGAGTGGTTGGTTGCTGTAGCAAACAATAGTGACTTCCTCTTTATCCCTTTCAAAACTGTATTCACAGGCATGGAGAAAGCAAAGCAAGATGCCTTTGACAGAGCCCGACTCCAGGTCATCAAAGACGGTTATGAAAGGGCATTCGAGTGCATTAACAAGGGTCTCTCAGAGGACGAGGCAGGAAACAAGGCACAGGCTTTGGAGCTTTACCGGCAGGGTCGCCAGCACCTCCTTAGGGCACTCAGCGTGCCGTCCCGGGGGGAGGAATGTGTAGGCTCCTCTTGGGATTCGGCCCGGCAGATGCAGCAGAAGATGCAGGAGACTCTAGACAACATCACCACCAGATTAGCAGTGCTGGAGACCAGCTCAAATTCTGTTTCCAATGGTTCTGTCCCTCAAAATCTCTACCCTGCACTCCCTAAACAGAGGCCAGATAGGCCGGCTCCACCCAAGGAGCTGTTCCCCAGCGCCCCACCCATAGGAGCTGCATCTGAGGTGCCTTCAGCAGCTCGAGGAGCAGCACCTGTTTCACCTTCACTGCCACACAACATCTCCTGTGACCAACCACCAGCCTACTCCCCGAAAGCTGCTGATGGACACCTCAGTATTAGCTATGGCACTGCTGCAGGTGAGCTTTCCCTGGTTGGGGATGAATTCTACAGTCATACCCCCAACTCTGCTCCCTCTCCTCAGAGCCTCGGGGAAGATGGAGAGGAGCTGTTTTTTCTACCCCATGGTGTGCAGATCTTCTTTGTCACCCCTGATGGACAAGTGAGTGCCCCCTCTTATCCGGGCTACCTGCGAATAGTTAGGTTCACCAATGAGTGCTCAGAAAGAGTGCCCAGAAGACCACCTGCCTTTCTTCAGGTAAGAAAATCACCTGGCATGGCAAATGATTTTAAATAATATGGTAATGTAAAATCTTTTAACCCTTAGAGTTATGGCCTTTGTTTGCTTTTCAAATGCAATTATGTAATTATAAGTGTGGGCAATAAGTTAAGTTACCCTTTATTAGTCCCACAACGGGGAAATTAACCTCTGCATTTAACCCATCTGTGCAGTGAAACACCCACGTACACACTAGTGAACACACACACACTAGGGGGCAGTGAGCACACTTGCCCGGAGCGGTGGGCAGCCCTATCCACTGCACCTGGGGAGCAGTTGGGGGTTAGGTGCCCTGCTCAAGGGCACTTCAGTCACGCACTGTCGGCTCAGGAGATCGAACTGGTGACCTTCCAGTCACAAGGCTGGTTCCCTAACCACTTTATATCCCAATACCTTTCACAGTATACAGTATGCATCATGATGCTTAGTTTTTCTGAGGTTTGTTAAGTTGGAACAGACAAAAAAGTGCCAGTACTGCCACATTTAAAGAATACTGTCAAAACTGACATCACACACTGCAGTAAGTGTAATTAAACAGGCTTAATTATGCTCTCTTGCAGTTGTTTGGTGTTCTTCAAATACTAATGATATCTGCAATATTCTTAGAAAATCATTTTCTGGTTTAATTATCACAATAACGATAAATATCACCATATTGCCCACTCCTACGTAATTACATATTTAATTACGCACAACTGATTAGCATATACATTCAATATACATTCAGTATCGACTCCCTTCAAGTCTTATTTTTGACATCAAGAAATGTTTTTCATTCTGCTAAAGAATGCTGTACATGCAAAAAGATATTGCATGTGTTTAAATGAGCTACGAGTGAAAAAATATGTAAGATCACATCACACCATGATCATGTCTTTATTGTTTAATATTGTCCCCTTTTAACTGAATATTTTATTTCAGTACTCTTTTACAGTAAAGCTAAGGATAGATTCCATTTAATATGTGGAAGAGACCTAGGCCCACTTATCTTGTTCAATCTTAACTGAATGCCTCTCAGACTAATAAAGTGTTTTATTGCATTACAGTTGTTTTGAAAGGGCTGATTCCATTTATAAGGCCCTTTAACTTCCTTTCACAAACAGTTGGCCTAGTTTCAAGATATTGTAGGCTTAGTTAATGAGTGCGTTCCCTGTGCCCTAGCTGTCATGTGTCATGCTTGTACTCACTGTTCTCAATCCATTAGGATTTCTCTGAGTGAGCTCATCCTGGGAAAACCCCCTGTATGGTATATGGCATCATGTGGTCAGGGCTAAAGATGACAGCATAGTCTGGGTAAAGTGTAAAGTCTCAGAAATGCTCATGTCTGTTCTGTACCCAGAGATGGATTTTGATAACTTAGCCTGCTCTTGGTTACAATCATACCTCAGTTAGTTTTGCGTCCTGGTTTTGTCAGATTTGTTTGATATGATATGATCTAATGCCTGATTTGATACTTCAGAGATGCAAAATACTACACAAACATTTAATTTAAGATTAGTGGTCATAAACACAAATAAGCTAGGGAAATACCCTCCACAAGAACATTTATTGTGCCTTAGACTAACAAGAGCTTCATGAACAGCTGCCTGCTGTATAAAGCTCTGTCCTCAGTACATGGCAAAGCTGTGTCACCTTCGTTCCAGTGACCATAAAATCTGCTAAGGGTCACACTGGGTTTACTGAAGGGGGGATCAGAGTGAAATGACTGGGTTTAAGTTCTGTTAGACAGTGATCAGAATGATCATGTACAGTAAGTACAGTAAGGTTCACATTCTCAGGGTGTCTGTGAAGAATAAAATACGAAGCTTGCATGGTGGTGGTAATTGCAGTAATGGTGGTAGTTTGACTGTGTTTATTAGTTAAGCCTCCTGCATTTACACTGAATACTACAGGTGAGTAGTGAGGAAGTGAAGTGAGGAACCTCTCAAGCTTGAATAGAGTGAGATCACTTCTTCAGTGAAAGTAGAACTGCACATTAGGTCATCGCACTGAGAGTGCAACCTCCAGTTGTTGTCCTTCAGGCCTGCACTTTAATCCAATTTAATCTGTAAAGTCATGGGATAAGATGAATGGTGTGACATGGAGACTGTCCAACTGAAATGACTCTTTCGCCTGGTCACATGCCTCAAATTGTTGGGGGGGGGGTCTAGACTCGTCCTCTCAATTTGCTCATCGAATGTCAGCCTGATGTTGTGCTCTAAACCTTATGTTGGTTTTCTGATAACAAAAAAACATTTTAGTATTTAGCATTTTACATCGATTATTGCTTTAAATCAAGTTTTCATTGGTTCCCTGGCAAAATTGTGGTGGAGTCTCTGTGGAGAATAATTTACTTACACTTTCATTATGGAATTAAATCTTACTACACTTTTATTTGAGAAATATTTACGATAATTTAGGCTAAGAATCTATTTAGAGCCCAAAAGTTCAGAGATCTACAAGCAATCCCTTAGATTCCACACAGTTTGATGAGTTGTTTGACAAAAAGAAAGTGTCACCCTTCTAGCTAATTTGCAAGTCTAATGCGAGATGCAGTGATAAATTATTTAAATGCTGTGGCTGCTGGAAGTCTGACTCAGAGCCACATGTCAAAGAGTTTGAGACTTTTTTCACTTCTGTACATAAACTGTACTGGGAACTAGAGCTGTATCGGTACCACTTTAGAATAAGACCACCCTCAGCGGTTTATGAATAGTTTAAAATGAGTTTATTAATGGTTATTAATTAGGTCGTAAACACCTTAAAAATCATTAAACAGTTATAAAACAGTAAACAGTTGTAAAACATTATTAAAAGGAGAAAACGTGAGCTGTTCTATCTGATGAACCTGACAATTTCAATGTTGACTGATGGAGAAGACAAAGTAAGATAAGCAATCAGCAAGAACGGCAGATCACTGTTGCCCTTTTTATTTGTGTGTTATAACTGCTTATTAATGATTTTTAAGACGTGACCAAATGCTACTACTAAATACATAAATGCAAACATTTACATATTTATTAGTTGTAGTGAGCAGGGTTGAAGATGAATAGCTTTCATATTGACATTGCAATGTGAACTAGTGCAACTTTCAAACAAAAAGTTTCTAAACTGCCTGTAGATGAGAGAGACCAATCAGAATCAACCAAACATCCATGTGCTATGAACAACACAACCAACCTGGAAGTCTGGTGCTCTACATTCAGCATTTATGCCTCAAGCCAGAGAAACTGGATGTTCTGGTCTTCATTGGCACACAAACCTGGACTTTTATTTATAGATCACAATTTAGAACACAGTCACAATATTGGCAAAAAACAAATTCCAATTACTTATTTTCTCAAATATTTTAGCCCTGGTCGGATATCATATCTGAGCAATAATAATAAGGTTTTTTTTTTTATTTCTCCACAAATACTAAATGAAACTGCTTTTGTAACCAACACGAATGTATTTTGTCCTGATTTCAGGTGTGTGACTGGCTTTACCCCTTGATGGCCACCGACTCGCCGGTCCTGCTGTGCAACACTGGAGTCTATATGTTCCCTGATATGATGGCTCCCTCCCCAGGCTCCTATGTGGGAGTGGTGCTGTCCTCAGAACTGCCCCGCTCGGAGCGGGAGCTCTTCCAGGACCTCCTGTCTCAAATGACAGACCTGCGAGTCCAGGTGAGCTTCTCCAGTCCAGCCTCAGAGCCCCAGAGGTCGTCTGCTACTCCACCACAGGTGTGGGACCTTAACATTGTTACAGTATGTCTGCAGCCTGAATCCAAATCATTAGATGTCAGACTGATTCCTGCCCTTTTGGATTGCTGTTGAGTGCATACTTTATATATTAAAACAAGCTAACATTAAGGCTGTTGCTTGGTAACAATCCGTAATTACCTGTGATTGTGATTGTTCATTATGCTTATGTTTCATTAAAATTGTGGAATGCATGTGAATTTTGCTTATCATTTAGGGCTGTCGGATATCACCAATAATGGCTTTAAAAAAAAATTACAAATTAAAAAAAAAGGTAAAACAAAGAACCCCCGCCCTGAAGTCCCAGTTTAACTGTTCATACAATACACAACATGCACAAAGTACAGAAACATACTGCTTGTCTCTGGCACTTTTGAATGTTATTTGAACAGTACAATTTGTTCTGTCAGCTCTACCATCAATGCATCTGTCTGCTTTAATAACGCCTTGCCTTTTTCACAGATTTCAGGTGTTTTTGAGAGGTTAAGAGATTTGTTTAACCAGGTACAAGGCTAAAGATTGTAATACTGTTGAATGGCAAGTGCCTTTGTATGGTCTATTTAATATTTTGAGCAACATTAAAAGTTTCCACTGAAAAAATGCAGGTAATATTTCTGATATCTTGGAATAGATATCAGTCAAATCAAGAGATTTATACTGAATACAGTAAAGGCACTTGACACTTCACGTGGTACTTACAATACCTTTAAGCTTTCTGTTGCTTGCATTGTTCAGAAGTATGTTCCACCTTGGGCCTGAAGGCAGTGCAGGGTAGAATTAGCTCTGCTTTTGAGCTGGCGAGTTCTGTTGTTGTTAGTCCTCGCCGCTGCAAATTGGGGATTGAGAGCAGAGCAGGAAAAGGCTAATTAATTAGGCTGCCCTTAATGCTCTTAGCGTGACAGGAACGCTGGTTCTCTTTTCACTTCAGGCATCTGGCTGAATGAAAAGGGAGCCAGCGGCTCACTGTGATTCATCAGTCCTCATCAGTGCGTCACACCGCCAGTGCTTTCCATTAACACCTTAGTTAAAAAAGACCCTCGACTCATGTCAGTTGTACCATAATTGTCTTTGACCATACAATCCTTTTTTGAAACTTGCGAAATGCTTTGTAAACAAACATTCTTACGTAAACATTTCACAATGCAAATGTAATTGGGTTTGGGGCCAAGTGTCACTGTTGCTCTTAAAGGTGGGAGCAACTACAAACACTCGCTTTGTTTTGGTGATAACAGTTCTTTGTCCAAAGTCTTCTGCCTGCTGACTGACTGTTCATGCTCAGACAAGCACAAAGGCCTCAAAGAACTGTTGTTTGAGAAGAGAAAATTTTGAATTTGTGATTTGAAAAACTTGAGCAAAGCCACCATCCACAGAGCCACCATGCGTAGTGCAGCCCCATCCTCACTTACCCATCCTCCATCTTCATCTTTCACCATTTGCTTGTAGTGAGTGCACTGGCTAGTATTTGTAGCAATACATAATGCTTTGTTTTAACTGTTATGCACCCTGCTGTCTTTCTAAGGCATCTGATGGAGCAGCAGATACCATTAACCTGGGCCAGAAGGTGCCCATGGGGCCTCCAGAAGAGGTGGTGCCCCCTACTGCTGAGGAGGAGGAGGAGGAGGAGAAAGTCCTTCCAGAGTGGAGCGAGAAAGTAGCTCATGGAATCCTTACAGGTGAGACCTGGAGATAAAATACTTGATTATACTTGACAAAACAGAAATGACTCCTAATATCTCAAATGACGGAGGAATTCCGGATCTTCTTACTTATCAGATGATAACCAGGGGTGTCAAATGGAGTTCCTCAGCTCTGCAGAGAATAGTATTTTCCCTAATCTAATTCAACTCATAAAGGACTTGATACTTACTTGATGAGAGCAATCAGATATTTTTAAAATGTGGTTGAAAGCTAAACACTGTAATATTGTGGCCCACAAAGTCTGGAGTCTGACACATGCTCAATACATAATGTTTGTTTTTAGGACTAATTATATCTACAGACCGCATTAGATCTATTTTTCATTTTAACGTGTAAATAACAACAGAATGTTTTAGAGTTTTGAAACATTGTAAACAAAAAAAAAATGCCAAGTAAAGAAGTAAAGAAGTAATGAAGGATAAATATTCAAGAATCTATTTGTGACATTGACCATGTTAAGGCCTTTGTACAAGTCTCATTTCGTCCACTGAAGCTCATGTTCAGACTATTTGGGTTTGATCTACTCATCAGAGGGCTTTGCACAAACTTGTGAAGTTCATGCCAGCTCTAGTGAGCACTGTCTTCAAATCAAAAGGTGAACATAATTACATAAATAAGAAATTCTGAAATCCAAATACTTAAAAGATTCTGCTTTTTACATACATTGTTATGCTGATAATAGAATTTGTAAAGAGAAACTTTGTATTAAATTAGAAAAGGATGTCAAACGGAAGCATTTTTACCAGTGGTTTCCCCCCTATATGTTATACTGTACTTATACTATAATACTGTGATATACAATACGAGTATATTATGGTTTGCCTAATAAGCTTAATGTAAGGTTTTTTCCTAAAATTGAAAGAAGTAGCATTACTGAGTCAGGAGAAAAAACTATATTATGGTGCCTGTGCAATGCTGTCTGTCGCCCTGTAAAGCCTGACATCATTCAAGTCAGAAGTGTTGGGTCGAGTTTTTCTGACCACATTATGTCTTCATGGATCAACGTTACATGCACAGGATCAAAATGAATGTCCAACTCGATGTTTAGGTCTCAAATGAAAAATCAACATTATATACTGTGAAGATATGATGACAAAAGTAATTCATAACTATTCATTCAATTCATCCACTCAAGGAAGGGGTCCAAAGCATAGCCCACATTGCAAAATATTTTTCCTCACGTTACATGTCACACATCACATTTTTTCCCCAAGCATGTTTGCCCTATGGAGAATTATTTTTTACACATGCAGTACCTTTTTTATTTGGTTTGAGAAACTACACTGCACTATTTACAACCCGTGAGTTCCAAGTTTTATGAGAAATTCCCCCTCATGGAATCCTTATAGCTGAGACAAAGTGACATAAATACTTGATAGTGTTTAACAAAATCTTTCTCAAACTAAAATTAGATGCAGTCCAATTATCAAGTGCATCATAAAAAAGTTTCTTTACAGTTTAGTACTTTTCTAAATGTACTCAGGCTTTAAAATGACAGCTTATTGTCAGCTACAACCTGTAAGGCCAGGCAGTACAGTAGCCATAATGAATCCAGTAAATGACAACATATGTTTGTCAGTGGAATCTGAATCTGTACTTTGTACCAAATGGGACAACGTGTGTTGTAGTGCCCTTATGAACTCTCAGGGAGTTTGTTTAGAGCTAGCATTCAGATATGCTACACAAGAAGTGTGGCTGATCTGCTGCTTAAGCTTACGTCACTGTTTATAAAACTTTTGTGAGAGAGTTTGGAGCAGTTATACACTTTCACTGTTCTATACACACTCCATGATTTTTTTCCCCTGACTTTCATTCCATTTTCTTCACATTTGATCTAGAAATAATGTTGTAAATGCAGTACATGTGGTTAATCTAAATCTGTTAACATATGCTAGTTCATAAAGTTTCAAGTAGTGTGAAGTAGTGCATGAAACTGATCTCATTGCTATAACACCCTCTCAGGGGCTTCCTGGCTGAGCTGGGGATTAGTGAAGGGAGCTGAGTACACAGGGAAGGCCATCCATAAAGGAGCATCCAAACTGAGGGAACACATCACGCCTGAGGACAAACCAACACAAGTCAGCCCCACCGTCACCAAAGGCCTCCATGTAGCCAAGCAGGCCACTGGAGGAGCTGTGAAAGTCAGCCAATTTCTAGGTAGAGAACTGCTTAACCATTTACACAGCCAGAACATATTTGTTCACAACCAGTATCTGTGTTTCAGTAGGAGGTGTGTTACTAAGGGTGTAAATATCTGAACTTCACCACAGTTTGATTTAGATGCTGTATTGAGAAATATTTTTAAAAATAAATAGAATACCCAGATATGGCTAGAGAGAAATTTGCTCAGTAAATAGAAAGTGAAGAGAATATAGAAAGGAAATGAATACAGAAAGTGACAACAACAATACATCAAGCTTTTTTTGAGGATTGTTACATTTAAAAATAGTCTAAGGTATTCATAAGGAGGTATTTTTAACGAAACAATGAGCACACACTTTATTGAATATTATTGTAATTGATTCTGATATCTCAAAATTGATGCAGTTGAATGGACATCTTGACATTTATACATTGCAATGCATTTGTACACCCCTACACTGTCAGAAAAAACGTTACTGGACATTTTTGTCCCAAACAATCAGTGTAACTGAAACATGGTCCTAAAGGTCCAGTGTTGCACCTTTAATTGCATACAATGTAATCGCTTGCATTCACTTAGCATTCACTTAGTATGTTTAAAGGCCTCAATTAAAGACAGGCATATAGATACACAGGTGTAAAGACACGCAAATACACGCACACACACACACATAAATATATATATATTTGAAGATACCTCCCCAGTAGCAACATTGGTACTCCAAAAAAGCACAGTTTAGTACCATTTTTGAGAGTGTTGGCTTTATTGTGGGGGGGAGCCTGCACTGGCAATGCTTTTAATTAGAGCACTTTTTGTGTTTGCTGTATTAGTGGATGGGCTTTGCACGGTTGCTAGCCATGTGGGCAGAGAGTTGGCCCCACATGTGAAGAAACATGGGGGTAAACTTCTCCCAGAGTCCATGAAAAAAGACAAGGATGGACGGTCCAATATTGATGGTGCCATGGTAGTAGCTGCAAGTGGGGTTCAAGGTAAAATCAAGTATATACCTGACATTTTTAGTTAATTTCAAATTCCAAATCATGGGACACATCTTTTTGTAATAGCTTCTTACTGCCATTTATTCCAGGTCAATGTTTTGGAAAAAAACATTGATACACATATTTTCTTACTTTCTGATTCACTGTTTGGCAGGATTTGCGACTATGTGGACAGGCTTGGAAGCTGCAGCTAAAAACATTGCAAAGAGCGTTGCCACAGAGACAGTCAACACTGTGAAGCATAAGTGAGTAACTCAGGAAGTATTGATTTCCAGATATCTTAATATTAATTAACTTAATATTAGATATCTTTGGAGTTCACAAATGCAGTTACACAAGATTAAATCTGTGTAGTATATGATCTTCATATACTAGTCAGAATTCTTTTGCTAGCTTGACACTGTTTCACTAGCATTGCACTCATGTCCTTTAATGGAAAATACACAGCACACTTACACTCTCTTCCCTCTATTTGTTTACAGATTTAGGGGTCTAGAGAACATCTTAGAGCCCCCAAATGAGAAGCAGTAGCTATATTGTTTCAGAGCTCTTACTCACAGTTAACCGTCTAAAGCATTGCTTTGGCTGATTATGTCCATGATTCACAGCTGTTGCACTTGATAGTGGTTATTCAGTATATTTCTGATTAGACACATTCCTTTATAATTACTAGCTGTGCACACTGATCCCTCATTCAGTGGAATGAATGACCACTTCTAACTGTATTAAAGACCCTCTCCAGGCATTGGTGAAGCCCCTAGAAACACCTCTCTGTTCATCAAAATGACATTTTTTGAAGTTATTTCCAAGAAAAATCCCCTAATGCCTTAAAAGTAGTTTAAATGGAAGTAGAATAGAAGCTTGCCTTTAGGGCTTTCTGCCAGAAAGCAGCTTTCTCCATGTTTCATATGTACTTGAATTAGCTAACCTCATTTTACCTAACCTACCTTTTGTCAGAATTGCTGTAATGAATATAGCTATTATCTAATTCAGTAAGCTGAGCTATCTGACAAACTTTTTGAACAACGTTTGCCCTAACTTTCTAACTAACATCCCGAAGTTGTATAATGTGTCCTGTCAGCATTTCACACGAATCATCGTGTGCCTTGTACAGTTAACATTGTCTAACATTATCTAGCTCTTTGCAGATTTGTTACGAGGCTGAAGCAAGCTTCTTATTTGTAACTGTCTAGTTCGAATTTCCCGTTCCACCTTAAATGGTGCAGCAGTTACGGTAAAATTCAAACAAGAAGGCCTGAGGCGCCAGAATGCTGCACTGCTTAAGGTGGAACCAGAAAATTCGAACAAGAAGCTCGCGAATAAGAAGCTGACTTCAGCTTTGTAGATTTGTTTTACACAGATTTGTTTTACAGATTTCATAGATTTGTTTTACACAGATAAAACACAAGAAAAATAAACTTACCGATTGGCTTGTACTCGCTGCGTCCCCAGGATAAATGGAAAGAACAGCGTCTACCTTCATTATAAGTTTAGTGGCAAACTCCACCTGTTTTTGAGTACAATTTACAAAACAGTCCTCTGAAAAATGGCTACTGCAAACCCGAATTTCCTCTGGAAGTTTGGCTGGGACAGTTTAATTTTTCCAAATAAACTGCATCCATTTTTCACTGATTTTCAGATCCTTTAGGAAACTAAGATACACATTTTCTTCTTTAACTTTTCATCTGAAAACAACGCCATCGTTTTGAAAAGAATGCAAAACTTAGCTTGTAAAATATGACGCATAGCTACACCAGACTATGATACACCTTGTCCCACCTTTTTGGGACTGTCACTGGTGAACTGCAGTTTCAAAGCGGAAATATCCAGCCACGGCATTGACTACTTATTTCGCTCATGGTATGTCTTCTAGCGTATAAAAGACACCACATGGACACAATAACAAGTGTAAAAACTTGATTTTCACTGGAGGGGGTCTTTAAGCATTGTTTTTTCCTTTTCCCTTTGTACTTCACCTGTTGTTTTTTCAAAAAAGGAAACAACTTTATAATAATTATGGCAACAAAACAATTTAAAGGTGCAGTAAGTAGTATTTTAATGCAATGCTTTTATGTATTACAAGCTAATTGCTACATTACTTGAATATCATTAACCAAAATGGACAAAATAAGAGAGAATTTCTGAGAATTGTAGGGGAGAACAGGGCACAACCCAGCACGTTTTGTTTTTTGAAAAATAATTTTAGAAGTATAAATATCTTTGCTCTTTTAAAAACATTTTAAAGCAACACTGATCATTTTAACCTACACATCTCTCCTCACAATAAACATGTTATTCATTTTCAGCAAGGTTACAAATTACCCACATAAGCAAGGTTCATTGTAACTGGAGGGGGTTATTTGTAACATTAGCAAAAATGTTGTTTGACCCAGACCAGCTTTCCAACCTAAATACATAAAAAATATGCATCGGGAAAAATAGAAAAAATATGATTTGTGAAAAGCAGTTGTGTCAAAGATGGCAAATTTATTTTTAACCACAAATATAACAACAAATATAATCTCAATAAAATATATGAAATATATTTTAGTTACGTGACATCTACAGTATGTTTCTGATAAATCTGTGAATAAGCATGTACAAAAATAAACTGTTTTGAATTTATATGTGAAAGATGTGTGAATTTATATGTGAATTTCTCTCATTGTTTAGTTTAGGAGGATTAGTTGTAAAAGTGTGTTACAAACTAAGCCAGTAGACACTCTGCTTTAACCTGACTAGTTCTCACTGCAATTGGAATCGTTACTTCAAAATCATGCGATACGCCATGCACCAAGTAGACATAGGTGTAAATTCCTAACATAGTTGTAAATTTTGTGACTTGTAGGCACAACTCAATAATATTTGAAAAACAGCTTATGATGAAAAAGCTACTTTCATAGTACAAAATTAGGCTTCAGAGTGAGAAAAATTTGCAGAAGAATACATGAAACTAACCAAAACCATGTTCTACTTAAACCTGCTGAACTACATAAATCTCATAAATATCAGTGTAACATTTTACCCCATGTTAGGTTGTGCCCTGTGTCCTCCTGCACTTTTCTCCTCTTTTTGTAAATATGAGGTGCCTGCTACCAAAACGAACTAACTATTTTACAACATTACATTAAACAGTTGCAGGCTAAAGTTTGGATGCCCCTGGTCAAAGTGAAAATAGGTTAACATTCTCTACAGAGAACACACTTCTGCATAGTTTAATACACAAATATAATTTATTTGCTGAATTTAAGTAATAAAAAAACTTAAGTTTATCCTGTTCAAACATTATAGCACATGTCATATTGTGTTTTTGTCTTAAACTCAACAAATAAAATAAAATTAGCAGAAAAATGCCACATTTAAGTTGTTCTCTGTAGAGGATGTGTTTACATAACAAGACATGAATCATCTTAATATATAAACATTATAAAGTTATTAAAATACTACTTATTGTAACTAAGAACAACAGAACCAGAGGTATGGGTGATTGACAGTGTATTTGGGTCACTTGGTGATGTATTTTATCATGTGAGCCACATAATCATAAACAAACCGCCCTTCTCTCAGAAATAATGAACATTTTCAAATTGGGTAAATGGAATTTGAATAGTTACACAGTAAGATGATTTCCTCAATTTCTCTTTAATTTGGTCTAATTCTGCTTTGTACATCTCCAAAGCTGTGAATGGACCCCTGCATGTGTGTGGGCTCAACTGCTTTGCATGCATTATCCCTATTACAGCATCAAAACGGCTGCTACTTTGCTGTTAATTTGAAAAATATCCCTTTTTTTTACCTAATCTTGATTATCTGTGATTAAGGTATGGGGCAGAAGCAGGGCAGGCCACAGACCATGCTGTCAACTCCGCTATTAACGTGGGCGTCACTGCCTTCAACATCGACAACCTGGGGATCAAGGCAATTGTGAAAAAGACAGGCAAAGAAACTGCCCACGCCATTCTGAAAGACTACAAAGTGCAAGAGAGTCCAGAGACTGAGAAACAACAGGAGAAAAACAAGGACCAAAAATAACTGACGCTGGAGCTCCTTCTATTTCAGGTGTCTGTAAAGACAAAAAAATGGAGGGTTTTGCTTTAACAAGGTACTGAAGAGGTTTTACATACAAAGTAACCATCAAGGCACTGAGATATTTGTGCTACTGACCTCTACACATACATCCCTAGCTTATATTTAGCCTCAAAGATGTTCTTATACAACTCTTACTGTAAGTATTTACTAACATGCTGCCTATGAAGAATATTTTGAGTCTACTTTTGTTAGGGTATAACTGTACGTGTGTGCTGCTGTGTGAGCTCACTGACCTAACGCCTTATTTTACACCAGCTCTAAGCATATTCCCCACTGAATGAACAGGTCTGCCCACTAATACATAGTGAAGTAATTCAATTCAGGTGTCTCTTAAAGAAGGTCACCTAAAATTATATTTATAAGCCAAAGTATTATTTTTAAATGACATAGAGCCTTAATATGAATACTGTCTTTGTCACAACTTTCTACTGTGTATCTAAATGCTGTACTAGAGTGTCTATTTAAATGCTCTATTTATAATGAAATGTTTATATTTGCGGACTAGTTTGCTTGCAAAGCTTTTCAAAAAGTTGTCTTTTATGGTTCTAATATATTTTCAAGCACTTTAACCCTCACTATGGGGAAAGAACATTTCAGAGCTTGATATATGAGTGCAATGTTGCATATTAAAGACTAGCTTGATTAGAAGAAGCCAGGCAAAGTCAAATTTCACTATTTGTCCAAAAATCTGTAAACACCTATGTGTTCAATGTTGCTTCTGAAATTTTTGAGAGTTTGTGCCCCTTTGCTGCGGTAACACCCTCTGATCTACTGGGAAGGCACTAGATGTCGGAACATGGCCGTGAGAATTTAATTGCCTTCAACCACAAAAGCATTAGCGAGGTCAAATACTGATGTTGGATGATCATTTCTGGATCACAAACATCATTCCAACTCATTCTAAAGATTTTCAATGGAGCTCTATCACTCTGGAGAACTGTTCTACTGCTCTACAGCCCAGTGCTGAGGGGCTTTATACCCCACTAGTTCAGTGGTTCAGTGGTTCAGACCTAATCTCTTTAAATGTGGTCCACATTTTTGCTCCTACCCGTCTAGCAATACATAGGGCTAAAGAAAAAATGTGGACTGCCTGAGGGTTCCTGAGATCCACTGCTTTAGCCAGTGAGCTTTGGTCATGGTGGCTTTAGGCCAGGGATACAGCCCTAGTCCTGGAGATCTACCACCCTGGAGAGTTCAGATCAAGCACACCTGGCCATAATGTACAGATGCCACTGAATGCCTTCATTACATGGATCTGGTGTGATAGATTAGGATTGAAGATAAACTGTGCAGGGTGGTTGATCTCCAGGACCAACCAGGATTTGGCACCCCTGCTTTGGGCTTATGTGCAGCTGCTCCAGAGGGTCCCACTTTATTTGAAATGCTTTTCTATGGAGATTAGACAAGCTGCGTGTCTGGAGTTGAACACCTGGGTCAGCAGTGAAGCACCTTAAAGTAGCTGAATTCACTGATTAGAAGGGCTGTCTTTTGAAGATATAGTGTACTTTGTCCTTTTGGATGCTGGCAAATGAGAGCAAATAGAAAGGAGTAGGATTTAAATTTTCTGGAGATAGCTTAAAGATGAAGCTTTTGAAGTTATGCTTAATAATTTTTTTTCTACTAAAACTGCTGCATACACCAGTTATGGAACATCATCCTTTGCTGACATTACTGTGCAGTTACTTCACTGCAAGTCTGTATTAATGCCCTGTAAACTGATATGGATATAACTGTTTGATAGCCATGTGATCTTGAATTGAGTTGGAGCAGTTCATAAAAGGTTTTTAGACAGGCATTCAAACATGTATAGCTTTACTTGTCTTCAGTAAGTCTGCTGTTTTACACAATCTTGTTAGATTTAACCACATTCATAGCTATTTCTACAGGCTCGGCCTGATATTGTGTCTAAACAGACAAATCGTGGCGAGTTTTCAGAAGTGTTGCATAAGAGAGTAGAGCATTGTTTGTTTTTAATCCTCTTTGTAACATTTAAGATGTTTGAAATGTGTTTTCCCCCCACAGTTTTATGTCTGTTAGGAAAGGAAAACTGGAGAAAAACAGGCTGCTGGCTGAATGCAGCCTTACACTGTCATGGAAACCCATGTCTGTACCCAGGAGATGTTTGTCAGATCAATTATAATGTCTCTCAGTGGTACTTACTTCAACATGTTCTCACTGTCAGTGATGTGAAAGAGTCAGGTTTAACCACTTATAATATATTAAAGGGTTTTATCTAACATGGTTACATATTGATGTAATTATTTGAGAAAATAAACCTTGATTTTAAAGGCACAAGCTTTGTGTTTCGGTGTGTTGTAATTATGTTTTTCTGTCTGTGTTGGTGTTGTAATCCATCCTGGGTGCCAAACTTTAACCTACTAAGCAGCTGCTTTTTTCAGTAGTGCCCTCTTGTGGCAGCAGGTCCCCATAATCAGCAAAATGCCATTGTGCTTCATGTTTATTATGTTCATTCAGGGCAGGAGAACAGGTTTCTTGTCTCCTTTTGTAATAATTAAAAAAAGGGCCTCTTTCACCAAAATCTTCCTAAGTTTTTTCTTAAATGTGTTCTTGAGAAAGATCCTAAGAAAAAGTCTACGTCAGATTCATGATGTGTTCTTAAACTGCAGAGTTGTTCACACCTTTGTGCTCTTGAGTGTGTAGATTTTGTTCTTACCTCAGAGCAAATCCCAAATAAGAAAACATTGATGAATGTCAGAATATTCATAAAACGGTGTAAGTGGGTCTTAAGAAGAAATTTCTTCTAAAGAATGGTTGGACCCAATGAGTCTTAACTATGAGAAAAAGGAATAAAAATCATCAGACCTTTCTTGAGGTGGGGGGGCTATCCTGCTCTTTGGAAAAGGGGCAAAAAAAGGGGCCAAGTGAAAAAAGCATGATTTTTATTTTTATTTTTTTTGGTAAACCAGTGAATAAGAATTGAACAACCAACTAAATACTGAAGCAACACAAGTTAATGCAGAATAGCTTTTCCTTTAAAAAGCAAAGTCTTTGAAACTGCAGCTGTAGAAAGCATTTTATATATGCCTGTGTCAATATTGTTTCATTCAGTTTTTATTGTCTTCCACAGTTGGTCAGCAGTGGAAACCTTTTGTTCAGTTAATTTGTGGTTAAAGTGAGACCAGATGTTCTCAGTGGGGTTCAAATCTGGACTTTGACAAGGCCAAATCAGTAGATTAATGGACCATCTCTTCTGCTGTCTCTTCTGATTGATGACCCTTTGCCCTTAGACTTTGCAGATGCCCTCTGGGTTGATGTGAATAATAACTGTTTTACGCTGTGCCGCCATTCTTCTAGATACAGTTCAGTGAGATGAGGGTCTTCTATACCACCAAAAAGGGTTCCACCATCATTATGTATCATTTTTCAGTACTATGTAGAACCCTTTTTGCAAAGAGTGTAGAACTAAAAATCAGTTATAATAAAAACAAGACCTTTGTGGATATGGACAGTCATACCTAATTTGGGATTATTCCCACATGTGTTGGTGCAGGATGGGGCCAATCACCATGAACTAGTTGTGCCATTGGAAATACGATGAACTAGAGTGTGTTGGATATTAAATGTCTACAAAGTGTTTTATGAATGTGCATAAAATATATATAAAAAAAAAAACACATTTTGCTTTGTTGAATAATGACAATGACACAAACAGACTGTTTGCATGAGACAGCACTTTTGATAAGAGTTTATTTGAAGGCTACCTACATAGGACCTTAAGTACACCATTAACTGGAAAAAACCTCCATACCTGTGTAATGTATGGAATAAATGCCCATCAGTTTGGTTTAAAGCCCCTTACGACCCTGCACGGCGATTACTCACATACACTCTCAGAAAAAAGGGTATGACACTGTCACTGGGGCAGTACCCCTCTTGTCACAGGTGTGGTTCCCCTTAAGGTTACATCTCAGTACCTTTAGTCAGGGAACGTAATTGTACATAATTCACTCCACACACCCCGTCTCGTCTCCAGGCTTTTTATTTTATTGTTCTGGTTTAAAACATTAGATTATGTAAAGGTACAGATATGTACTGCTCCACAGCCCAATGCTGGGGGCTGATTTGAGAAACATTGCTATAGCTGACACTTGTCACTGGATATGGTGACCTCAGGCTCAGGGAAAAACAACAGCTCATTGATGAAGCAGTAGATCACACAAACTCACAGAATGGGGTTGCCAATTGCTAAATGCAATTAAATCCTTTATTTAAGTAAATGTAAAAATAGTGAGTCAAATGTTGATTGGATATATTTTGCATCACTCACTACAGAGCACCAAACTGCCTCTGGATGCACACAAGCCTAAGATCAAAATGCACAATGCCAAGTGTTGGTTCTTGAATCACGCTTCACTGTCTGACACTATCTGATGGATGAATCTGGGTTTGGCGGATGTCAGGAGAACACTACCTACCGGAATGCATAGTAAAGTTTGGTGGAGGGATAATGGGTTTGGGCTAGGCCCCTTAGTTCCCTTAGTGATGTAAATGCTACAGCATTCAAAGACATTCAAAACAATTAAAATGCTTCCGACTTTGTGGCAGCAGTTTGGGGAAAGACCTCTCCGGTTCCAGCATGACTGAGCCCCTGTGCACAAAGCGAACTTCATTAAGACATGGTTTGACGAATTTGGTGAGGAGGAACTTGGTGGCCTGCACAGACCCCTGACCTCAACCCCACTGAACACCTTTGGGAAAAGTTGGAACATTGACTGTGAGCCCAAAATCAATGCCTGACCTCACACCTCACAAATGCTTTTTTGACTGATTGAGCACAAATTCCCACAGACACACTCCAAAAGGCTGTTCTAGACACAAACAAGGGACCAATTTCAATATTAATTGCCATGGTTTTGGAATAGGATGCCCAACAAGCACATATGCACTCCTAGAAATGAAGGTTCTGTGCAGGTACGTTTTTCATTCATCAAGGTATAAACAATGTAAATGTTCCGTCAAAGGTGCAACATTGGTTTTAAGATCCAGTGGTGTAACTTAAATATGTTTTTCCCAGGTGAAAAGTATATATTTGTATCTTTTCATAACTGAATGTTTTAAAACAGAACAATAAAATAAAAAGATGAGATGATTATATATATATACATATATATATATATATATATATATATATATATATATATATATATATGTATATGTGTGTGTGTGTGTGTGTGTGTGTGTGTGTATTCTTTTTTTTTTTCTTTACAGACAAATAAACTGCTATTAAACTAAAACTAATAAACACAAACTAGTAAATTAAAACTAATATTCACATTAGAATTCACATTAGTGGAATCTTCTCGCCCTCTGGTGGCGAAGCAGGGTAATGCAGCAGGGTGTCGCTTAAACTGGGGGGATGGAGCCATGCAAATCAGGGAGAGGGGGAGACACACCAGCTGCAGCCCATCCTCCTTCTCCTCCTCCTCCTCCTCCTCCTCCTTCTCCAGGAGCAGCCTGCAGGGCACAAAGGCACCACCACATGCACGGCCTCTGCTAGCCAAATCCCCACCGAGCAGCATGTCCATGGCATGATCATCACGCACACTACACGGTGCGACTGGGAGCCGACCAAGCCCACGGATACCGCAGCTTACCAACGCGAGGAAAGTGAGTTCAAAACATTATTTTATCCTGCAACTATTCACACAGTTAGATGCAGCATCTGGTCCTGCATTTGAGTGGATCGGGTCTTCTTACGTGAAGTCTCCACCAAAGCAGGTACAGAAGGTTCTAGGTTTGCTCTCGTTGTCCTTTTATGGGCGGCGGTGGGCTTGAAGAACTTCTGAATCAGCGACGAATTCGTGTCTCTGTAGAAAATGCCAGATTTTACAGACAGTAATAGCGACAAAAGAGCGTGTAGCGTGTCAGTGTGGTCCATTTGTTACAATGACAAGGTGTGCTGCATATCAATAGACTGCCATGTTCATAAAGCGCAGTGTAGCCATCATTTTCTGATATTGTTTCTGATGAAAAAATGTGAAATATTTGCAAGATGTTCGATTTCCACAGCAGTGCAGCTTTTCTTTTCAAAGCTTAAAGCATCCTCTTTCCAACAGCCCACTGAATGAAACAGATATGTGTTATTATTGGCTGTCAATAACGTCTCCATAGAGAGAAAATATAATAAAGTATTATAACTGATAATACAGTTCATGTTTTTTCACTCCACCTCTGTTCTCACAGAAGCACAACCAGGTGGCCGAAATGGAGCTGGAGCATTTTGACGAACGGGACAGAACACAGAGGTCCAGCCGTGGGGCGTCCCGGGCCAACGGGCTGCCGAGCCCCACTCACAGCGCCCACTGCAGCCTGTACCGCACCCGCACCCTGCAGGCCCTCAGCTCGGAGAAAAAAGCCAAAAAGGTGCGATTCTACCGTAATGGAGACCGATACTTCAAAGGCATCGTCTACGCCATCTCCCAGGACCGGTTCAGGTCATTCGATGCACTGCTGGCTGACCTCACCCGCTCTTTATCCGACAATGTCAACTTGCCCCAGGGGGTCCGCACCATTTACTCAGTTGATGGGGCCAAGAAGATCATGAGTATGGAACAGCTGGAGGAAGGTAAGGTTGGATCACAGACCTTCTGTCTTCTGTCTGACTTTTTAACCCCTTAAACTTTAGGGAAAACTCTGTGGTCTGTTCCTCACTGTTATAACTGAATAGTAACACGGTCATTTTAAATTGTTTCCCATGTAGTTACTGAATAAAAGGGCGTATTTTGCAAATCATTGCACAATCAGCACAGGTTAAATCAGGTTAAACACTTGATTCATCAAATAGGTAACTTTAGACAGATAGATAGACAGTCTCAAAATTGCAAAACTGCAGCAGCAACAAACAAAGGTGCATTCCCAGAAAAAACTTTTTGTTTCAGATTTACCACTATTGTAGCATCGCATTACATAAACAAATACATTTTATGTTGCAAACCCAATTCCACAAAAGTTGGGACAGCAGGTAAAATGGAAATAAAAACAGAAAACTGTGATTTATGAATCTACTTTGCCCTGTTTGTGAACAAAAACAGTACAAAGACAAAATATGTGATGTTGTATCTTATCAACTTCGTTTTTTTTTGTTGCAAATATACATTTGCTCTAAAAATTATGCCTGCAACACTGCTCCAAAGAAGTTGGCACAAGAGCAATTTAAGACGGGAACATAGTGAAACGATCAAAAAGCATCTTATAAAAATAGCATCCAGGAAAGGCTGAGTCCATTTATGAGTGAGGATGGTTTGAGGCACATCAAAAAAAAGGGCAGCAAAAATCCAGCAATTTAAAATAATGTTCCTCAGCTTGCGATTGCAAGGATTTTAGGTATTTCACCCACTACAGTGCGTGATATCACGAAAACATTCAGGGAATCTGGATAAATCTGTGTGCGTACCGGACAAGCACGAAAACCACCGAAGAATGCCCATAACTTTCAGCCCTCAGATGGCACTGCATTAAAAACGGGCATGTTTCTGTGATATCACAAATTGTTGTCAATAAATGACATTTACAAATGCAAGTTAGGACTGTACTGTGCACAGTGGAAGACATATGTCAACAGCATCAAAAAAGGCTGCAGACTTTCTTGGACTCATGCTCATCTGAAATCGACTGATGCTCAGTAGAAACGTATTGTGGTCTGACGAGTGAGCTTTTCAGATTATTTATGGAAATAATGTACGTTGTGTTCTCCAGGCCAAAGAAGTGAAGGACCATCCAGACTGTTACCAGTGTAAAGTTAAAAATCCAGCATCTGCGATGGTGTAGGGGAGTATTAGTGAATACCTTGCACATCTGTAAAAGCATCATTAACGCTGCACACATTTGGAGCAACTGCCTTTTATATACCGTCTTTTTCAGTGACGTCCCTGTTTATTTCAACATGACAAAATAAAGGAATATCCTGGGTTGTGGCTGTGTAAAGAGAGAGTTAATGTGTGTCTTATTAAGCTCAAAATATGACAACAATGGCCCCATACAGCTGTATGGCTGAAAACTTGTATACCACAAGACTGTCAAAAAATAGCTTTCAAAGCAGGATTGTCTGGTGTCTTTAGTCCCCTTATGATTATTAAGTGCTGTTATAACAAAAGATGTAATATAGTGGTAAACATGCTCTTGTCCCAGCTTTTTTGGAATGTGTTGCAGGCGTCTAATATTGAAAAAGCCTATATTCACAAAAACAATGTTCATTAGTTAAAACATCAAATATTGTGTTTTTGTACTGTTTTCATTGTAATAATACAGGTCAAACAGGATTTGGCAATATTATAAAATGGCTATATTTGAGTTGTCCATGTTGTGACCACCACTGTAAAGAAATCCAGGTCCTCAAGCTTCTCTACAATGAACCATTTCACATCAAACCAATCTGAATGACTTTGTTTACATCTCATCTGCTGAGTTAAGCAGAAATTTTGAAACAATTAGTGGAATTCCCCTGTAAGTATTAATAACATTGATAACTTTATCAAAAATGTTGTTGCTGTATCAGTCAAACTGAACTAAGTGAAAAGATCTTGTTTTCATTAATTAGGCTTTAATTTAGAGCAATACATTTCTTGCATTTGTTTGTTGTGAACAGATGCTCTTATTCAGTAAATTGATGGCCACATATGGAACCAACTGAATCCACTTAAAACCACTCATTAAAATATGAATTACCATTTTACAGCAACACCACACTACCCTTTTTCTGTCTACATATGTTTGTATGTTATTGTGTAGACTGATAAGTGAATGATTCAAGTCCATTCGGCATGCAGGTGTTTGTCTTCGACTGTAGATGTACTTGGCTCTGGTTTATGAACGAGCTGCTTCTAGGAGTATTTCAGTGGAATATTTAGGCCAGCCGTTCGTTCATGCTCAGACCTGGAGTGCTTTCATTGCCATGATAAATGTGAAAATGAGACAGACTTGGCTGATTTTGTTCTCATCAGGGCAATTAACCTTGACTGAATGGCCTCTCAAGCCATTCTGCTGCTCTGTTATTACCAGCTTTGGTTGCCCATCAGATGAATGTCTCAAAGCACAGCAGTAGATGAAAGACTGTATTCTTTGCTTGTGTTTTTCTCTGTCCTTGACACTATACTGAAGCAGTGTTGGGCGATACGTTGTCTGCACTGCTAAATCGGCATTGGTGTCACAGAATAGCATTGATTTTTAGTGTTAGTTTTATTGAGATATATTCATAAAATAGTTAACTGTACTATCATTTGCTGGGTGCTTCAGATTGTTCAGAATAAATAGTTTAAAATACATTAAAAAGCTAAATAAATATCAAGTTTCCTTCCTTGAAATTGAGTTTCTATCCTGTTTAACATTTGCAAAGCTGTGCAGCGTTTCCTTTCGTAATTAAGTAAAGCAGAACAGCACTAAACAGTCCAATAAAACATGTCAGGTCTGTAAACGTAGAGTAACAGTGTTCAGGAAAGACTTTATTATGCAAACTTATGCCTAATTCCATCAGTACTGCCCAGTGCTAACTGAAAGAGTGCTAACTTGCATGTTGCTATTTATGTAACAGGTGAAAGCTATGTGTGTGGATCAATAGAGCCCTATAAGAAACTGGACTACACCAAGAATGTCAATCCTAACTGGTCAGTCAACATGAAGACCACCGCATCCTCACGAGCTCCACCCTCGTTGGCCAGCGCCAAGGCCTGCTCCTTGGACTCCAAGGAGACCAAGGACTTTATCCGGCCCAAGCTGGTAACCATCATCCGGAGCGGAGTGAAGCCTCGCAAAGCCGTGCGGATCCTCCTCAATAAGAAGACGGCTCACACGTTTGAGCAAGTTCTCAGCGACATCACTGATGCCATCAAGCTGGACACAGGAGCGGTCAAGAGGCTGTACACAGTGGATGGCAAACTGGTAGGAGTCCAGTTTTATCTTCTGATGCGGTTTCATTTTAGGACATGTTTGGCCTGTAAGGGGTGTAACCATCTAAACTCACTAGAATTTGACTCGATTATCAATGACTCGATTAACAAATGATCTAATTTTCAATGTTGTGAACCAGCCCACTGTAGGCAGGAGCAGACCAAAGTACACATGAAGAGAAATCCCACAAATAATAAATACTCTAAAGAAAGTAGAACAATCGCTAAGTCATATATATAAACAATTTAAAATCATAACGGTAAAACAATTAAAAGAATTAAGTCTTTCTAAAGAGTTGGGAAGCAACCGATCACGTGAACAACACACAGATGGTCATTATGGCGGAGGCTTCAGTCCGGCGGCCACAGCTGCCCAGCAAAACAACAAAAATTACTGTTCTGTGGTTTAATTCCTGCTCTGTGTTTACTGGGAAGTAATGGCGTTTGGTGAAGTTACTCACAGTGAGCCTGATGACCACGACTGCCGTGTTATTTCAGCAGAGAATAATGTGTTTGTGAATAGACTGTGTTAGATACTGGATGTCAGTTCATCTTGTGCTGTGAGGGTGGGAGCAGAACCAAATATTTTGGTTGTGGACAGGAATGGGACAAATGTTTTGGGAGTGGGCAGGAATGGGATGAAATCTTGAGGGAGCGGGACTCAAAAAACAGCCCTGTGCAGTACACTCTTGAAAATGATGGTTCTTCGAAGGTTCTACAGTAAAGAAAATGGTTCTATATAGAACCCCTTGCATAATGAAAGGTTCTTTGCGTAGTGAAATGGTTCTTCAGATTGATGGAGAATGTTCTGTAGATGGTTCTATATAGAACCCTTTTGAAAAGTTCGCCTTGATGGAACTGTGCAGGCAGGAGCAGAACCAATATTTCAGTTGCGGCTGGGGATGGGACAAATGTTTCAGAAGTGGGCAGGAATGGGATGAAATCTTGAGGGAGCGGGACTGAAAAAACCGTCCTGTGCAGTACACTCATGAAAATGATGGTTCTTCGAAGGTTCTACAGTAAAGAAACCCCTTGCATAACAAAAGGTTCTTTGCATAGTGAAATGTTTTTTCAGATTGATGGAGAACGTGCTGTAGATGGTTCTATATAGAACCTTTTTGAAAAGGGTTCTATATACCACCAAAAAGTGTTCTGCTATTGGAATGATTTCAAGCTTGTAACAATAGAAGAAACATTTTTCGGTGCTTTATAGAACCCATTTTAAAAAAGAACCATGTACAACACATTCTCCATCAATCTGAAGAATCATTTCACCATGCAAAGAATGGTTCTATATAGACCTCACAGTTATAAATAGAACCATTCCTTTTACTAGAGAACACTTAAAGAACCCTACTTTTTAAGAGTGTGCAACTCAGTATTAAAAGTGCACTGAATAAATAACTGTGACTGGAAGATTTATAACAGTAGTGGAATACAGACAATGGACCAAGTGTTTTTTTAGTTTTTTTATGTTTAAAAATAGCCTTATAGTTTTATTTTGGCCAAAAAAGAAGCGCTCACTTTAGTGTACATTACTATATAACTGTATATTATAATCTAGTCTTCTTACGTTCCAAAATTGTTGAATTGCCACCTTCATATGCATCGATGCAGTTTTACACCCCTGTGCTCTGTGCATTTGTTAAAACCGTTTTGCAGAGTGTTTGATTTCCTATTGACTGGTGAGAATATATGCTGTCAGCTTTCAATCCAGTTCATTTGCCAGCCACTTACATAACCAGCACATCCACACATCCATTGAAGTGACCCTAGCTTTTTGTATTGAGGTTACAAAGCAAAATCAACAAACATTTGTTTGATCTCCAACTCTGAATCTGAATCTCTGAAATCTTTGTGGCGCTCCTGCTCAGAATTAAAATACGCATTTCAGACGTGTGGCCTGGTTTCTCAGAGGTGAGGCTGTTCATGCGTCATCATCATCAACCCAAACAGGTCACACTGTTCCCCCTTCACTGACAGACCAGCGCTAAACTGGTGTCCTCGCTTTCTCCTCTTTTCCTCCTCAAACGTGTCCTGCTTTTCTCCAGCCGTTTGGGAGATATTCTGTGAGGCCATATTTAGAAGCAGAGGGTCTCTACATTTGCATCAGAGCAGCTCAAATTCGCAGGAAAAGGTGAGAGAGGATAGAGAGACAGAACAAGACACCGGGACAGAGAGAAGAGAAGGGGTCAGCCAAAGGGTGGCAGCCATATTGTGAGTGCTGACAGGGAGAGTGACCTTTCCATTTCTCCACAGGAAAGGCTGAGCAGTTACCTGCTGTCACCACAGGCCTGTGGCTTCATCACTCTCTCTGCCTGTCCTTATTTGCTGCACTACAAATGAAATATAATGTAAACATATTCCGACATATTCTATTTACATTTCGGAAAATATTGGCAAGTTGAGATATATTCCATTTTCCTTTCAGAGAGCATGACCTATATGAGTTTTTGTTACCGATACGGATTTTAAGGTGCTAAAAGTTTTGATGCTTTGAGCCTATATAATTTAACATCTTTTCAAGAAAGCCGTAAAATGCAGTTTCTGCCTGTTTGGAGGTCCCTCGGTTGGTCTAGGCAATTTTTTTAGTAATTTTGATGGAATATATTTGTATGATGGAAATGTGCATGATTTTCATTTTGGAGATGAGCATCAAGTCAACATCTATACAAGTGTTTTTGTGTTTAAATGCTCCTTTTTTATTGTATACACAATGAGTTGTACACGACATTATAGACAGTTTTGTTTTCACTGCAGGAGGTTCTCACCCCTCCCCTTTCACCTCTCATTGCTCACTAGCAGCTCAACACAGAGTCACAACATTTCAAAACACAGACAGTCAATGGTGTCCTAGTTACTCTGATAACAGAGTTATAGGTAAAAATATATTATTTGATTATATTGATTAAAAGTATCATAGTAGCCTATTTCCACTCCGCTGACAGAATGGCCTGCAGAAAGAGGTAAATATGGAGTTTTAAAAGGCCTGTATCCTACATTTTTCTTGTATTTTATTTTCTTCCCCACTGAGGTCCACTTATGGGGTTTTGTAGTTTTTTGTATCAAAAGCAGTTTTTATTCCTGAAGTGAAACAGGATAATTTTGTTACTGTGACTTTGAAACTGATATATGTAATGACCACTATTCCGATTGGCTGTCCTTTAGCGTGCTATATTCAAAAATGTGGTCCAGCCTGAAACACTCCTTGTAACGTCAGCGTGAATGGGTGTGGCTAAACTGCTGTAGGCTGAATAGGCGGATATGTGTAAGTGTGTCCATTTTTGTGACATCACAAAAACAATGAATTCCAAATTGGCTGTTTTTGCAGCTCAGGCTCCATGTATGGACTGTATGGACTGAATGGTCTAAATGGTACATTTTAAAACTTTAACAATGTTTTATATACTATATCTTATTTCAAGTAAGAAATGAAAATCTGTTTTTCTGTGATATGGGCTATTTAGTAACAATAACAATAATAATAATTATTCCGTCCATTCATATAGTGCCACACACTCAAGCACAAACCGCTGCTGTCTTGAAGGGATGCATGGCTTCCATATTTTCATGTAAAGGTCAAACAAGGCCCTGTATTAATAAAGTAAGTTATTTAGTTGCTGACCTTTTGGTTGTTTATAATAAACATAATCACATTGCTGAACATGGTTTTCTTATATAACATTTAAAGAGTTATAATCAGGCTTTATAGGGCAGGATTTCTGCTGATCCCAGTAAATCTGTGGAACTGAAATGTTGGCTGATTTTATCATCCAAAAGATATATGTGTCAAGCCCTACTGTGAACACTCAAACATGCTGGACTTTCACATCTTAATCGAGTCCACTGGCATTTATCTCAGCAGATTTGATGGATGTCCAAAAAATATTGCATCTCCAAGCATTTTCATTTTGTCTTAGGAAAATTTAAGAGGATTTCTGCGTCTAGACTGAGCGACATCCAAGAGATAAAGAGTGAGTGAAGCAGAGATTGGCAGGGGTGGTGATGTCAGAGAGGATGTTCTCAGGGATTCACTTGTTGGATTTTGCCATTACAGTGCAAGTAACAGCTTTGCTAATCGTTTGAGAGATGCCTACAGTGTTGCTTCAGTGGCAGTAATGAGGAAAGCAGCCTGGAAAGAAAAGAAAAGAAAAGAAAAGGAAAGAAGGAGTCTAATAGGTAACACACGCCTACTTTACAATCTTGTTAACCATCAGCCATCTTTCCCTATTTATAGACTTTCTTCTGTCTGCTATATTGGTACCATTTCAAAGAAACATTAGCAACCTTTTTCCCTTTTTTTAAAGGCCTCTGTCTGTTTCCATGACGATGAGGTTGCCGGAGCTGGTTGCTAGGAAACAGCCTCTGCTGCAGAGGGGGTGCAGTAGTGGTGATGTCGCAGGCCTACCGGCTTTCACTGAGGTGCAAAGCAATTTCTGGATGGCACGTTGTGAATGATCTGAGCTCAGTCATGCTGTAGTGTATTTTGATGCTTTTACTCTAAGGATTTAACACGATTAATCGATTAAAAAATATAATCAGTGAATCAACAGTGATTATTTGGGCAGTTTGCATGGTGATATAGATATAGAGTTTTCCAGTAAAAACAGAGCCTAATAGACACACCTATTTATGGTCAGTCTTTTTGGTAACAACCTGATGCAAATTAATAAATTAATACATTTTGAACCAAGTTTATTTCTGAGTTTGTTAATACAGCATTAACAATTCGCTACAGAGACACATTCAGACTGATAAAGACCCCCCTCCCACCTCCCATAGTAACATTCAGGGAGTATACGACATAAATTACACATAAATAAATAGTGTAATCATAATTAAATATAAATGAATAAATACACACATACATACATACATACATATATAAAGATAAGTCAGCAGGGGCCTAAAACAATACATCCTAGGGGTGCGGGAAAAACTCGATTCTTAGATGCATCGCGATGCGGACGTGAACGATTCTGAATCGATTCA